CCTCCCGGCCCATCCCGGCACCTCCCGGCCCATCCCGGCACCTCCCGGCCCTTCCCGGCACCTCCCGGCCCATCCCGGGCCCGCCCGACGTGGCTCCCTCTTCGGGGGTCCTGCCCTCGCCGGGCGGTGCCACGTTTGCCGCGGGCGTCTCTCCTCCCTGCGAATTTTATAGCCGGGGTGGGGGTGGAGGGGTGGGGGAAAATGGGGAGAAAAGTGCGTGGCAAATAATCCATCAAAAAGCCGGAGCGAGATCGATACGTCGTGTTAAATTTTAAATGTGTTTGCTGGCAGTTAAACTGCTCTCGACTCATTACAACAACAGTGCTGGATTTATTCTAATGCGCTGCAGTCTGAACAACAAGCGCATTAATTCTCCTTTAATTGTAAACTGGGAGCATTTGAAAACCATTCAGTGTGCAAATTATGCTGATTCAATTACCGTTTAGTTACAGACTTCATTACCTGAATACTTCTTTTTTTTTTTTTTTTTTCCGAGGGCTTGGCATTGCAGAGTGAAGGAGACGATTTTCAAGTTTCCCTCGAAACAATGCAAAATATTATACCAAAAAAGAAAAAAAAAAAATCGAGAATAAAAGACAAGCTAAGGGGGAGGGAATGCGCCCTTCAGCTGGTCTGTGTCTTCTGCCAAAACACTCCGGGAGCATCCAAAGGATTTCCCTAGCACAATTCTTCTTTCTAACTTGATATTTCCACATTTATGCCAATTTCTCCCTATTCTCTGTATTTCAGGAGTGACTCTGAAAGTTTGCATTAGGCCATTGCATGATAACAAACTGTTTATTAGTACCGAAGCATGAAGTTTTGATTAAAGCTTTAATGCGGCGCCACAAAGCAGCAAGGTGCAGCACTTTGTTGTGCCTATCTGTATGTGCATGTTGCTCCGCGTGGACAAAAGCAGTTTCAATTAGGAATTAAATTTTCAATGCTCAGACTGTTAGGAAGGGTAAATGAAATGGCAGCACAGCTTCCTATCGAGTTTGTTGAAAAAAAAAACAAACCACCTTTTTGGGAGGGGTTAATAATATAGGTGAGAAGGAAAATAGCCTGTTTCCCCTTCGCCTGAATTAGGAGGTGTTCATGGAGAGTGAACAGCTGCAGTGATACTGGGCTGCCTTGAAGTCACTCATTTACAGACACTGTCTGCCTTGTAATTTCTCTTCACTCAGCAAACCACTGCTCTTTTTCTTTTTTTTTTTGTTCTTCCCCCCTGCCCCCCCTCCCTCCCCGTTAAACCTCTTTGTAATGAAATCTTCAGGAAAAAAAAAATAGTGCTGCTTTTCTTCTCCTTTTAATAGAGCCATATGCTATCCATCCTTATTGCCTGAAATTTATAGAGATCATGGCCGATCTGAATGAGTAGAAATTTTGCTAGGGTAGAGATGGTTCACCATATTATGTTTATTGAGAAGAACATTAGTTGTGCATTGCGAGGTGTGCATTTTCTCCTTGTTTCGAGATGTGCAGTGTATTGAGAATGTTATATTTTATTTGCAGTGGTAGTGTATTTCCTTTGGCCTAAATGGGTAACTTAGTACTTATTTGGCAGAATTAGGAATTAACCTTTAAAGTCTTGCAGTTGTTTTCTTCTTTTACTTTTAGAAAGCTGCAGAAAGTGTTCAAACACCTACACTCGGTCTTATTTACCACGACAGTCCACATCACCGCTGTTCTTTCAAAAGCATCTTAGTCTGATTCTAAGGGATGATGTTTCCTAACTAACAGTGCTGTGCCGAGCTCAAAATCGTCAGTGAGGAAGCACGTAAAGAATAAAGAAAAAAAGCAAAATAACACCCGGAGATCACAGACTCTCATAGAATTGAGTTCTGTTTATAAGGACTCGGATTTTACACCATTCATTTAATGGAAACTTTCTCCTTGTACCTCCTGCCTAGTTGCCGGTGAACTTCCAGTCCGACACCACAGGACAATAAAAGGCCAGGCTGCTTCTTTTCATTTCTTCTTTATTTTTTTTCCCCTGTGTGGAAGCAGCAAGCTGTAAAGTGACTACAGGACGCGCGGGCTGTTAGGAAGGACGGCAAGGATCCCAAGTGTTATTTCTCAGAGGGACAGGTCAAGCAGGCCCTCGAAGGAGGAGGCAGATCCTTTCCGTGCCGGCAGCTGCGGAGCCGCTCCGTGCGGCGGGGCCCGGCGGGCTGTGGCCGGCAGCTGCCGGAGGCGACAGGCTCCCGTCCCGTCCCGACCCGTCCCGTCCCGACCCGTCCCGTCCCGACCCGTCCCGTCCCGGCCCGTCCCGCCCCGTCCCGTCCCGGC